CACACACACACACACACACACACACACACACACACACACACACACACACACACACACACACACACACACACAAATATATTTATAATGTACTGACATGCGATCCTGTTGATTATAGAACAATCCAAAATGCTGTTACTTGTATAAAATGAAAATTTTGAACTTTTAAAAATGACTCATTGGTATTAAGTTACATTATAGTTTTCTCTGTGTTATTGCTTTGTCATAACCTTTAGGTTTTTTAGGTTTCTAATTAAATTTTGCATTTGAATTTTTTGTTTGTTTCTTTCTTCTGATTTGTTTTGACACCTTCACTTCCTGTTTTATTTTGGAGGGTCAGTTCTTGGTGTGTTTAGGTTTCCTGCTCTCTTGTCACGCCTGATTAAGTTTTGTAATTAACACTCCTGTTTCTCCAGTTCAGTCGTCTTCCTGTGTCTTCGTTTTCCTTTGTCAATTAGTCAATTCCGTGCAGCTTGATTTGAAAAAGTTTGATAAGGTTGATCAGTAATGATAAATATTCTTTGCATCTTTTAAGAAAATGGCATAAATGTTACTATCCATATTTTAAAATAGATATTTTGACATAGAAAATAAGACAAAACTGCAATGCAGCCTTAAAAACCTGTTGCTGGAGGTTAATGGTCCCTTTGTTTTTTTCATGATGAGTGAGTGAGGATTATTCATGTGTTAGTTGATGTGTCTGAACAAGAAACAAGAAAAAGGCAGATGCTGCACATTACGTACCAGTCTACTGCCTCTAAAATTGCCCTGCAAATGAGGATCCTAATGAGTGGCAGTGTTTGTGGGTGAAGGAGCAGCCTAATGATGCTAAGTCAATTGCGTCTTATCTCTTTGTCCGTGTGTTTGTGTGTGTCAGTGAGCAGAAAAGACATTTGTCAGCCTCAAAAGGAGTGGCAGTCATCATATTTCTTCATTTTCTCCTCTCTCATGCTCCAAATCGGGCAGGACAGTTAAATACATTAGCCACACAATATGGAGTTGTCTTGTCTCACCAGCAAAACAGATGTCAAACATGTTCATTTTACTTGCTCTTCCCAAGAAAGCACCTATTTCCCAGACCAGGCAAGAGTCAACATCAAATGTGATTACTGCCTTTGAAGGCACAAAAAACATTAGACTGAATATATTAGCAAAATCTACAGGAATAAGGTGTAAGTAAGTTTGTTAAAAATGGTTTTGAATTTGCCAAATCATCTATATAATGTGTCAGTCAACTGTTTTCCTGCAGACACTTGTTGCATGCACAGGGATTCATAGCCCCGTGAAAGCAAGGAATGTAAAGTCAAATAAACATTTACAAAATGCATGATTTGATGTCTGGGGAATCAAATGAACTGCTCATCAAGTCTTTAAATTATAGCATATCCTGTGTTGTAAACTTAGTTTTTTCCTTTTGTTTTTACCAGTCAAAATTTTTCTTCTTTTTCTATTAGACAAATATGTACAAAACTAATATGTCAAATACTAATATAAAGTAACATACTTTTGTGGATTCCTTTCTTTTGTCTTTGTACTTTTTGCTCGGCTCATGCAAACATTTCAAGACTGATTTTCAGGTTGGAAATAATTTAATTTAACTGGTCCGATATCATTAATTCAGGGACTAATCTGACCTGTTTTATCTTTAGATTTACTGTGGGAAAACAAGTACAGCTTTTAGTTTGACAAAAATAGACTTTAATCATTTTTGCACCAAACTGTTGCCCCAACAATTATAGTAACAAAATAACAATTTTTATATAAATAAACATTTCATAAAATAATAATTTCTAGAAAATAGCATATTTTTGTGGCTATAGTCTGAAAGTTCACAAAATGCAAACGTTTTTGCGTGTAGGATCCATTATTCTAAATGAGAAATAAACATCTATGTAAAAATCTAACAAACAAAAAAGAGTCGTGTTAAATAGGCAGTTACTATTGGGTTTTGTAAATTGGCTTAAAAGTTCTTTAAACTCTAAATATCCGTGTTTAATTTTCTTTAATTTCACCAAAACAACTTTCTTTCGCCTGAGTAGACGCTCTTTTCTTACCTAAACTTATGTTGCCGCATTCACATGGAAATTGTCGTAAAATGTCGCAAAAACGGGAAGCAGCGGGTCGATTTGAATCCGTCCCCATAGTTACTGACGTCAGTCCCATTCAAAAAAAAGTTTGTTGTGGTAAAAGGAAAAGAGTAAACTGAGCTGTTAGATTATTAATCTATGCGCATTTTTATTCATTTCCTGGCGTTGTTGGTAGTACGGACTTTATGCGGAAAGCTGTTGTCAAATAAAAAGCGAAAAGCATGGCTGTAAAACGCTATAGCTTGCAGAGTTAGCCACCGGCGGAACATCATAATATTGCTACTTTTGCTGCTGGTAATAGCAGCTTGCTACAAGGTTGATATCTTTGATAAGCCAGGTAAGGCACGACGAAACAGTGTACACTTTAAAGATAGCAGCCACTTTGCAGATATGAACTGATTACGTGTTTTACTATTTGCTTTCTTACAAGTCTGAAAATGTGCTCCAGCGACGAAGGCTGTCGTATCCTAGTTTTGGAAGAGCAGGTGAAGAGTTTATCAGATGAGTTGTTACAATGCCAGGTATGTATGAATGTATCCGCACTGACTGTCGGGTTTATGGTCTGCCATCTGAAAACTGTGTTTGTTTAGTAGGTAAAAAAATAATAAATTCGTACTTGCCTTAAGTTCTACCCGATAAAATTGCATTTGCTTGTGATACTTGTGATAAAATGTATAAAAAGTCTATAGCTACGAACGTATTGCCAGGTGTTTGTTTGTAATTACTATCTAATTAGGCAATGTGAAATGCATGTCAGTGCTCACTATGTAATACTCATACCACTTCTGTAGACACTTTTGATTGAAATCAGCTTTTTTTTTCATATACATTCACCTTAAAGCTGTTTATGTGCAGTGCCTTACTACAACATTTTTTGTAAAATTGTTAAGTATAGCAATTTTATGTTTTCAACAGACAGTTGCCTGTAGCAGCCATCTTGATACAAGTTACCTTCAAATGTTAATCAGTTGTAGATGTGCTTCAAGTGATTGTTTTCTGAGAATTTTATTAAAATCTGGCCACTGATTCACAAGATATTTTGCTAACATGAGAAATGAATATTTGCGCGCACACACACAGACAAAATCAATATTGCCTGCCATCATAAGGCAAAAAGACAAAGAAGACAGCACCATAGATGATAATGAGATGATAATTCAGATCCACTCTGTTTGATTTTCATTAAACACAGCAAAGCTAAAAACAAAATGCAGCCAAGATGCCAGTAAATGCATCATAACACATTTTTTAATTTTACTGTTTAATCAGAATCAGCTTTATTGGCCAAGTATGTTGACTCACACAAGGAATTTGTTTTCGGCATTTCGTGTCTCTCTAATATACAAGATATTTTACATATAATTTACACACAATATACAATATACAGAAAGATACACATTATACGTAACTATACGAAGACATATCTGTGCAGTGTGCTTTACAGTGTTATTCACGAAAGAGCAATATGACAACAGCATGCCGAGTAAATATACTGTTGTCATGTTGCTTTTTTGTGAATTTAAGCAAAGATTAGACTTTTATGACTGGCAACTGTATCTGCTGACAGCCTAAATTATAACTTAGTTCCAATTTCAGAGCATAATGGCCATATTTTACTTAATAAACTACAATATTATATATAATATTCTTATATACACTTGAAAAAACATGCTTGCATCAAAAACAGCATAAAGCATAAATTAGTTGAGCACTAAAAACTTAAAACATTCAGGGACATACTTATTTAAATGTTTTGCAAACACAGTAAAAAAGTTCTCTGCACTCCCAGATTTTTTTTGTTTGGTCTCATAAGCAGAGATATAAAATGCTCTTGATTAGATTTGAGAAGTTTTCATCTTTACATTGTCAGTCAGTTATTTCAGGGTTCCCTGCGTACTCACCACCAGGTGGTGTCTTCCAACATGAGTGTATTGATCCAGTATGTCTCATTTTGCATATTCAGTCAACCTTTCTGTTCAGATAGAGTTCAGCTGATGAACATCTGATTTTTTAAAATCAGATTATAGATAGCACCTTACACACTACAGTATCTGGTGTAGTGCTGCTGAGCATGTGTGCCTGTTATCTGATGTGGTCCATGTATTCTATTTTGTATTTGTAGTAATTACAAGTAAGTACATTCATGCAGTTTTCTGGGACAATAAACCATATTTTCTGTCAAATCTGTGTTTACTGACGTATCCCATCATTAATTTTATCTGTGGAGGAAGTTTTTACATCCTGTGCTGAAGAAAACAAAGATGACAATGTAAAAACACTCAATTATAATAAAAGTTCCTCAACAAAAGGCATCCCACTTTATAAAAATATGTCTGTAATTTTACCTAATGAGCAAAAGAATGTGTTTTGATTATTACATTAAGACCAAATGTTTGGTCTTTATAGCTCGTTAATTTTCATAACATTAAATAGTCCATTGTTAACTTTTAGACACCGTGTACAGGACTTGCAGTGAGTTACAATTATTTATGCAAATTTTGTACAAAAACAAGACAAATCTAAGGTGGCCTGAATTGGAAAAATTGGAAAACTAAGAAGAAATATAAAATTAATTTACTTTACCTTGTCTTCATTTTTTAGATATATTTCTTATTGTTCATGATTCACTAAAACGCATTTTTGTTGAGAATTAAGGAAAAAACATTCTAATCATTTGTACTTTTTTCAAATCAATAATAAAGATTTCCATGGTCTGCTGATATTTTCAGCTTTTGGACCACATGTCAACACTGATTTTAGACTAGTGTCACTATATGAAAATAACTTGTTTAATTTATTTCTCCTTTATGAATAAATGACAGCTAAACTAGGGCCTTTATTATTTGTCAATTCAGTGATGTAGTTATGATTTGAGACAAGTTCATGATGTGCAAAATCAGAATTTAAGCCAGGGCTCACTGCAACAAAGACTCCACACTCTCTCAAGGACTTCATCAGTTCGGTCCATTTGCTTATGAAATAATTAATGAAAACGGTTGTAGAGTTTTTGATTCCTCAGTCAGTTTTGCATTATTACAACTTGCATTTAATATACAAATGAAAAAGATGTAATAGATGACAAGCTTATTAAATTCTTTCTTTTTTTTCTTTCAAATGTTATTACAAGTAATTTGATTTCTTTGAGGGAAAATCAATTAACAGCTCAACTCTCCTTTCTAATTAAAATATATCCCATGTAAGTTGTGCATAAATACATCTTTTGACCTATTTCAAGTGACTAAACTCAGTCATTTCATTTGATAATAGTGCTGATTATCAGTACCATTGAGAGGGTAATTGAAGATATTAGAGCAAATCAACACAATATAATCTGTAACACTATTACAAAACATTTCCTTTGTTTACAGCACTCTACTTTCATAATATATTTATTTATGTTGATGTTTTGTTTACTTCAGAGCGTTTTGTCTTTTATTGAACTGACTTGGAACCCATCTTTGGTGGTCTTGTCCAGAGTAAGAACATCAGTGATTCTGTTTATCTAATAAGGACCTTAAGATGTGCGGTGTACATTTTAAATAGTGCCATTTGAATATCACTGATGTCTTAAGTCTTTGGCATGATGTACTTCAGGACAGCCATTAACTACAAAGAGTCTCATCTGCCAGCCAGCAAATGTTCCAGCTAGACCATGCTAATTTACTAATATGTGCTGAATTCCATTGGTCTCTCCCTCTCTGGTATGTTTAGCCCATGGTGTTTCAGTATCTAGATTCCAAATGAATAATTCAGCGATCATCAAACACTCATTCAATGTATCTTTAAGTGCACATACGGCAGAGGAGAGCTTTTTGATGAGGGTCCTCGCTGAACACTTGTCAGCAGAACAGTTAATGGCAGCCAAAGGCCAGACAGAGGGAGACCACATATTTCAAGTAAACTATGCTGCCTCATTTAATCATTAGCTGTGTTCCAGCGTTGATTTTGCGGGATCTGCATCCCCCACCCCGCCTCCCTGTGTTCATACAAACCAAAGCAAAGGCACATACGTAGACAGAGATCTGCACAAGTCCTTCCACTTTATAAGTTCAGCTCATGTCCTTATCAAGGTCTGATGCTGCCATTTTAGTAAATAATTGATTAGACACTTTTGAAAGAGGGCTTAAAATTCATATACTAATTGGAGACCAGTAGATTCCAGTGGGAGGGTTGACTTTTATCTTCTGATGATGTGAACATAATTTATCAGATAATTTTATATTAAGTCGATTTGGTATAATTCTGTCTTTTAATGTCAAATGTAGTTTTTAGATGTCGCTCATTAAATGTAATGCAGCTTCAAAATGTTTGAAAACCCAGCAAGACAATTTGAATTGGAAATGTGTCAGGGGGCTAGCTGTGGTTTTCAAAACTTGGGAGATGACTCTCTCTGTCATCAGTTTTGAGTTTCTTTGGAGCTGCGGATGGTAAACACATCCAGAGACCAATTGATTAATAAGGCGAATGCAAGCCCGACTGCCGTGTTTTTATTTGGATCCTCGCTCTCTGCAGTCATAAATAGTTCATAATGACAAGTGTCAATGCTCGCTCCCCTTGAATCGAAGGTCACATCTCAGCGATGGGGATTACTGCATAGGGAGCCTCATGATTAGAGAGGGCAGGCCAGATGAAAAAACTGTTTTGTACAAGTTGTTTTAAATTATTGATTGACTACCCCTACTGTCATATGCTAATGTCACTGAACATCCTGTTTAATGTTTTATTTTTAAGGCCAGTGAGAAGCTGCTTTATCTCGTAGAAATGCATTAAAGTCAAATTTATTACAAACAGTATGAAAATTATGTATCTCAATTAAAATGGCCTGATAATGAAATGCTGAACTCCTTTTTTTTTCAGGCAGACAAGGAGTTTGTGTGGTCTCTGTGGAAACGCCTGCAAGTGGCAAATCCAGACTTGACCCAGGCTGTCAGTTTGGTGGTGGAGCGGTGAGTGGATTCATCTTTCGTACTGCCACCTGAGAAGCTCAGTAGCTGAACATTACTTTATCTCACAAGTGGAGGGGAAAAAGAAAATGTGTGTGAAAGTTGTTCATGGGGTCTTTAAAGCACCTCGGCCATTCTGCAGGGGTTATGACGGAATCTGGTGCAGATGCTGATTTAAGCTCTGTTATCCCCAGTCTCGCAGTTCAAACAATGAAAACCCTTTTAATGAAAACGCTCTCCTTCTGCCGCTCACATGCTGGACAGTTGAAACAGTCCTGCCAAATACTTGTCTTTACTGGATAAATCGTAAGATGGAGTAAGACCTCTTTTGCTGGAATGCTAAGCCAAATGAAAAAGAGTGGCATGGGAACTGTCAGAGAACACAAAGGTTCAAGATTTTTCCTGCTGATGCACCTTTGGATACATGGAATAGATTCTTCATCTTTATGAAATAAACAAATTCCATTTCTAATTCTTTAATTTGTCTCTGAAGTTTTATTGTTCATTGTACTCTTTCCTAGGGATGCACGATATATCGATATTGATATCAGTATCGGCCGATATTGGTCATTTTTTAGAATATCGGTATCGGTCCAATATGTAAAACGGGGCGGATATTAATGTCCGATATTGATTTCCCACTTTTTATCTTTGTGTTTCTGTTTTGGGAGGTGAGACGGTTGGTTGAGCAGCATCTGTTTGATCGTGATAGTGATACTGACGCTGCGTAGCCAGGAATAACTGAAGTAGAGCCATGTCAGAGGTCTGGTCATTTATTTACAGTATCGAAAAAAGACCCAAGTGTGTTTTTGTGTATATGTATAATATAATTTGTATGTTTGTGTAATATTGGTAAATATCGGTTATCGGCCATAACAGCAATAATTATATTGGATATCGATATCGGCTGAAATTTCATATCGGTGAATCCTTACTCTTTCCAAATTCCAACAGTATTAGTTTTAGGCATTTCAGTTCTTTTTGTGACCTTTGACATAATTTCTGTTGCTTATGACTTACATTTTGAAATGGCTTAGTTGTCAGTCGGCAGTGCAGCAGCTTGCAGACACTTCCTCAGTACTTATGCCTCTCATTTCATACCCCACTCCTCCTTCAGTTACTTATAGCCCCATAGGAAACTCATCAAAGTGTGTTAGTCCACCGAGACTGGTGGAGGAACATGCACCCAGAGATTGTATGTGTATTGTATCACCTAATGCGCAGAAGGATATTGACATGGTAATTGTGTCGACTCCAGTCAAGCGCTGGTGCCCACTGGGAACTGTCATTCATCCCTCCCTCCTCTTTCAGTGTGGATCTTGTAAAGTGATTGGTTGGTTGCTCCGGACATGGTGAACACAGCCTCCAAATGTGCAATGAAATGCAGCCCAGCCTGCCTATGTTCCAGCCCCTCTCGGGACAACAGTGTTTCAGTGCCTGCCAGGGGAGAAGCCTGATCAGACGGGGCAAAGAGACGTTGGAGAAGGCCTTGGAGATGGAAGATGCAGAAGAAGTAGAAAAGTTGGCCCCTGTTGGTCTAATGCAGTTGAAACAAACAGGTCCCCACTCAAAGCCTTGTTTTTCCTCTCCCTAAAGTTAATATTTATAAAAGAGGAGCCAGTAAGCTCACAAGAAGATTAGCAGTTTGAAGTTGCTGCTCTGTCACTTTGTAGTTAGACTTCAAATATAAACAACGGGGTTTCAAACTCACTGAATATAGTTAAAGGCAAAGAATTTGATGAGTTTTGAGGAGAAGTGTATTAAAATCTGATTTTAAAATCACACAAGCTCTTTCTTCTTGACTTTTCTTCAACAGTGAGAAGCACAAAGCTGAAAATAAGGACCGGAAAGTGTTGGAAATCCTTCAGTCTAAAGACAACAAGATACAGGAGCTAGACCAGGTACAGAACATCCAGTGAAACATCCAGTATCTTTAGAAGCAAGAAAATAACTCTCACACATGAAATAAAACGTACATTTATCATTTTTATTTTACAGGTTCATTTATGTGTTTACAGATGTAAAAACTGTTTTTTGGTTAGTGATTAGGTTCAGTAGAGAGACTTAAGAGTTAAATACCACCCATCAACTTCTTGGCAAAAGATCTAAAGGAGCATTTCTGATTAATTTATTTTTCGTACAAAGTTCTCTTGACATCTGCAGGTTAAACTATTGAACTTTAAGTCATTCTTTCGACATCTTCAGATGTTTTCACACATCAACACCAGGAATGTTCAGGAGAAAGTTGGGACCGGTCAGACTGTAGTTGCTGTTCACACATTCACTTAAGAGGGGAAGATTTTCAGTTGCAACAGCATTTTAACAGCAAGAAATTTAAGGGAGGGTTTCAGGGGAGTGGACGTCTACAGCACATAGGATTTATCACAGAAGGCAAAATATGGAAATTGCTGATGGATTTTGGGTGTTTTTTGACCTATTAGTTTCCTTCTATTTATTATAAAACTAACTTTAGTATATTTAAATAAATCAAATGTTTTTATAAGGGTGCTTCATTCTTAATGATTTTCTTTGCATTCCTTTGGGTATTTTTCGCTTGGCTAAATGCATAGATAGATAAAAATAAATGCTGTTTTAACTGTATCACTAGCTCTCCATTTCTATTTTTTTATATTCTAGTATTGATACATTTGCTGGCTGGCTGATGATAATGGCATCACTAATGTAATTTACTCCTGACATCATCTCCTCACACAAACAGTTGCACATCTCCTCCTTTAGTGTCCCTCATCCTGAGTAGAGTTTATTCTAAATGCAACAGGCAGTAAAGGAGTCATCAGCTGGTCAGTGCTTTTTAACGTTCTTTTCTCAGAGCTCATAATAAGGCTCAGAGGACCAGATGATCCGCGATTAAATGGAAAACCTTCTTTTTTTAATGCAAGTTTTGTGCTCATTTAAACATGTAACACTGGCTTCTGTGCTGTCGTTTGCCTTACTGACAGTCATCATCTCATCCTACAGTGTTTAGCCACACCAAGATACTGAATAATTGGTTTTCCGCCTTTTTTAAGTTGTGATGGTCTACTGAGTCCACAAGGGATCTCACATTTTTCTTAATGTATTAGCTCTCCCACTTTGATGTTTTATTTTCTTCCTCATTTTCTTGCTCCTTCTGTCTATTTCTCTTTTTTGTTACAAAATTAGCCTAAATTTTTAACTGCACTGGGACTTTTCAGTAGCTAATCCTTCTGTCCTAGATGTCTTAACTTTGCAGGACTCTGCTGCAGTTCTAATTGTTCTTGCAAAATTAATTATCTAAGCTCCATATTTTTTTCCTGCTCTCTATTAAAGCTCGTCTGTTGTTGGCATGAAAAACTAGAAGTGGCAAGAAAGTTACTCTAAACTCTCTCTCTTAATATATCTGCAGGATTCTGTAAATATTTGCACCACAGAATAGTGTTATTTCAGATTGTGTGCCACAGAATCACGTAATGGTTTATCATTTTGATGTTTTGCAACTCCATTTCAGAATGTTTGGCTCAAGTGTCTGTTTATATATCTACATATTGTATATAATGTTTCTTTTTCTGTTTATGGACATTAATTTGTGCAATCAAGCTTTTATGCACAGTGGTAATGAGTAGGATCAATTATGTAGCATCATGTACACCATGCAACCTGTAGCTGTATGTTTTCTTTTTATTTCACTGTGCTGTATTGTCCTTGTGAGTGTTTCTCTGTCTGCCTCAGAAAGTGACAGTGCAGCAGCAGGAGATTAACAGTTTGCTACAGAGGAGGACAGCAGTGGACGAGGAGAGGGCTCTAATGAAGGAGTTGACATCTCTGCGTGAACAACTGGACTATAAAACTCAGGAACTCCAGGTTCGTGGGACACATTCTCTGTGGCAACATGTGCCACTGATTCATAATCTCTTCTTTTGTGTGGCGCTGAATACGACAAGCCCCCTCTGTGGCTAAAGCCTCGGGCCTTGGAGTCATTTAAAGGACAAGGAGGGTTGTTCAGCTCTCTTGAACACAATCACAGTGTCTTTGTGCCTTCCTCTTTGGTCTTCTCTCTGACTGAATCTCACCTGTTCCTGCTTCTAGCCTCTTTCTACTGACAACACAGAATACTTAACAGCTGAAAAGACTGTGTACGTGATCGAAAGAAACAGTCGAAGAAAAGCAGGTTGTTAACTTGCGTATAAATACTTAATGCTTCCTTCAACGGGAAAGAGAAAAGCGTACATGTGCTGGTGTGGCTTCTGCCTAATTATGCTTAGGTGGGACATGGTTATGATTAATTAATAAAGGAATGGTCCTTACCCAGTCATGGTGGGGTCTCATGGCGAGATATAGTGGGGGACAGCATCAAAGGATACCTGGGATGAGTCTAATAGGTCTTGTATCAAACAGGATTCTCATTAGAAGCTGTCATTAAAGCTGACAGACTGGCCCTTGTACCCACATGAGCCCGGCTCCTGCAGCACATCTCAGCCCATACCAACACCTGGTCACGAGGGCCCAGTCATACAGCACAGATGACCTTGGCCAATCAGCAACTCATGAGGGGGCCTCCTGCAGGAAACCCAGTCCACTGTTTATGTATTCAGTTCAGCCTCAACCCCATGAGCTGCTGCTTCTTTCATATCTCTATAGGTTTTCTTTTCTTAAGTTTGAACCGTTACTTTTCCTGTTTTTCTTCTTTTGTCACTATTGTTGTTTTGGCCCCGGTGACCCATCACTGTCCTGCACACACACACACAAACACACACACTCAGAAAAAAACACACACTCACAGCTTTTTTTTTATCCAGGAAATGAAGACTGAGTATAGAAGAAAAGAAGAGGAGGAGCGGCAGGTGGTACAGGCTCTAGAGGAGGAGAAAAAGGGATTAACGTCCCGCTGTGCTGCCCTGAGAGCTGACCTGGAGGAAAAACAGAGACAGGTCGACAGTCAGCGAGACGAGAGAGATGCCGCCCAGGCCAGATTAAAGGTTTGAACAGAGGAACAATTTCATTCAGAAACATATAAACCTTGAACTTTTTTGGTCCTTCAGATACTTTTCTCATCAGCCTTTACATACATTATAAAACAATCTCTGGAGCAAAGTACAGAATTTAATAGGGTTCCTCCCTGGATTTGGGTTAAAAATTAAATGAATTTAAAACAAAATTTTATGATGTTGGTATTTTTTTTGCTCAGGGAGATTATAGAAGTTGCTTTTTTTGTCATTGACTCATTTCAAGAGGAAAAAAAATGATCAAATGTTCTAAAAGTTATCAATGATCAATGCTTCTCATCTCACGCCATCAGAAAGTGATGACAGTGTTGCTGTTTCAGTTTTCAATCACTTGAATTTCTTGAAGACGTTGCTTCATGCAGCATGCTACCACAATGTGTTCCCCAGAGAAATTAGGTGCCTGCAAATATTCTTAGGACAGATCTGCTCAAGAACTTCACATTTATCTCTTTAGGTATAGACTGAGTAACATAATCCTTAAGGCAAGTGGAGTCAAACATAAAGTCCTGTAAATGTTTTATTACTGGTGAGTAATTAAACAGCACAAAGCCCAGTTACTTACTGTATATACATCTCCATCAAAACCTTAGACACTCCACCTGTTTCTTGTTTTTTAACACACTTTAATATTACATAGGAGAGTGCAGAGTATAAGTTACTGTAGTTGGTTAAAATGTATTACTTGTGCCTGCATTCTGATAAAATAAACAATGGACAGGTGCTCACTTTATGTAAACTAAAAAGAAATACATTCAAAAATGACATGGTTATAAAACTAATTCAAATTTAGTCAGTCATTTTAAATTGTAGACCATTCAAGCTTTAGTCATTTCTACATTTTCTGTTTGACTCACTTTAAATGATTGCATCGTTTTATGAAAAAGTTATCTTTTAAAGCAGGGGTAGGCAATCCTGGTCCTCGAGTGCCACTGTCCTGCATGTTTTACTTGTTTCCCTGCTCCAACACACCTGATTCAGAAATTGAATTAACTCTTCCAAGTTCTGCAGAGGCCTGTTAATCACTATTCATTCAAATCAGGTGTGTTGGAGCAGAGAAACACGTAAAACATGCAGGACAGTGGCACTCGAGGACCAGGATTGCCTATCCCTGATTTAAAGTGTTTGTCTTCACTTCACTTTACACATAGCAAAACCGAACAATTTATATTTTCTCATGGATATTTGCGTTTTATATTGGTGAGTTGTTCTTAGTTTTAGTTTTGCTTTCAGATTTGCCTACTGCAAGTTAGAAGTTTTAATAAAATCAGAGATGATTTGATGTCTGACAGTTAAAACACCCTAAGAAGCTTAGGCTTTTATAGTTTCATGCTATAATCAGTGACACCTGCTGTCTAGTAGTGTGCTACTTTTACTATTTTTCTGTCCTTATTAATTTCATGTTTGTCATGTACAAAACAAACCATGAGAGTACACTTTTCTTCAAACTGTCTGCAAAAAACACATAAAAATCCTCTGTATTCGCAATCTTCTACAGCTATCTGATTTTTTTAAGGTAGTAGGTTTAGATGGTGGAAGTTTGCTCTTAAATGGGACATCTTTTAAGTGGCAGTTAGCCTAAATTCGTCCTGATTCTCTAGACCAAGATCAAATTGACTTCTGTGTGTACAGTGGGGAAAATAAGTATTTAGTCAGTCACCAGTTGTGCAAGTTCTCCCACTTAAAAAGATGAGAGAGGCCTGTAATTGACATCATAGGTAGATCTCAACTATGAGAGACAAAATATGAAAAAAAAAATTGAGAAAATCATTTTGTCTGACTTTTAAAGAATTTTTTTGCAAATAATGG